CTTTTCCAGCTTGTCTACAAGCCGGAAAAAAGCGGCGGACATCTTTATTTAAATCCCGCGGGGGGGTATTTAAATCCCCCGTAGATTTCCCTATTACGAAGTTTAAAATTAGCATGCCCCTTTCGGAAAAGGGGCCAGTGTAGTCGCAGCTGATGTGGTGGTGCAGGGTTTTATTGGATTACAGTCCATTTTCCAATTCATATTCCCTTAACTTGCTGGTAAGAATATTGTGGGTGGCCGTATCAAAAGCTTTGCTAAAGCTGGCTCTGGGGGCTTTGGGAGGACCAAAAACACTGTATTTTCATATTCATAATTTACTTAATGAATATGCAAACATGTAAATGAATGTTACCGGTCCACCGAAAGCTCGTGAATGGATTTACTGGTCCCCATGTCAAAAAGTTTGGGAACCCCTGGTTTCAACAGGATCTTGGTGCATAATGATAAATAGCACATCAAGATTGAGTCCCAAACCAGGAAAGACCACTTTTTAAGGATATCATTTTTTCTCACTATGGACCTATGTAGCTCTTTCCATTTTTTTGAAAGCTATGAAATTAGTACCCTTGACACAACATGAGTTTCACAGCTGTCTTGAATTTGACAAATTACAGCTTTACCTTGCATGGAAAATCTGAAGCATAAGAAAATCTTAGGAAATAATGTAATCTGAAGGTCCCGGATAACTAAGAACTCAGAACATCCATAGGCAAATCTTCTATACACACTAAAATCTATTGTAGTAAGAAAATAGTATTCTACCCACTTTTGCCACAGTTAATGCTTTTCTTATGCCTAGAACAAATTATTTGAGATCCAAGTACATTCTGGTAACCCATTTTCTGAGAATATATAGATAAGAAACAAAGTCCTACCACCACATAGGGGTTAATGAACTTGGTTCTCCTCATGCCATTTTATACCTGTGTATTTTATATTTTGGAAAATGCTTAGCAAAACTTTAAAAATTATGCCCAAAGCTACCAAAATAATGGGCCTGATTCTCTGCATATTTATGCTGATATAACTTGGGAGTGACTCCATATTAATCAATGAAGTCACACTGACATGAAACCAGTATGAGAGGAGATTTAGGGTAAAATTTCAGGAGTACTTAATTTTCTAAGTCCCATGTTCACAAGTGTCTTATTTCAGGAGTACTTAATTTTCTAAGTCCCACGTTCACAAGTGTCTTAATCACTTAGTGCAAATTTTCAAAAGAATTTTGGTTCTAAAGATGCAGATAGTCACTTAGAATCATAGAATCATGGGGCTGGAAGAGACCTCAGGAGGCTGAGTCCAGCCCACTGCCCAAAGCAGGACCAATCCCAACAAAATCATCCCAGCCAGGGCTTTGTCATGCCGAGACTTAAAAACCTGTTGGTATGGAGATTCCACCACCTCCCTAAGTAACCCATTCCAGTACTACACCATCCTCCTAGTGAAATAATTTTTCCTAATATCCAACCTAGACCTCCCCCATTGTAACTTGAGACCATTTCTCCTTGTTCTGCCATCCATCTCTACTGAGAACAACCTCTCTCCATCCTCTTTGGAACCTCCTTTCAGGAAGTTGAAGGCTCCTATCAAATCCCCCCCTCTCTCTTTTCTTCTGCAGACTAAATAAGTCCAAATCCCTCAGCCTCTCCTCCTAGGTCAAGTGCTCCAGCCCCCTAATCATTTTGGTTGTACTCCACTGGACCCTCTCCAATGAATCCACATTCTTTTTGTAGTGAGGGCCCAGAATTGGACACAATATTCCAGATGTGGCCTCACTAGTGCTGAACAAAAGGAAATAATCACTTTTCTAGATCTGCTGGCAGTGCTCCTCCTAATGCACCTAATATGCCATTAGCGTTCTTGGCTACAAGAGTACTGAGTTGACTCATATCCAGCTTCTCATCCACTGTATTACCCAGATTCTTTTCAGCTGAACTGCTACCTAGCCGGTCCGTCCCCAGCCTGTAACAATGCTTTGGATTCTTCCGTCCCAAGTGCAGGACTCTGCACTTGTCCTTGTTGAATCTCATGTCCTTGTGAACCCCATGGGCTTTCAAAATTGCCTCAGCAATTAACCACCTAACTCCCATTGCAATTAGGCACTTAAATACTTTTGAAAACGTGACCCTTACGAACCTATGTCCAGTTAGGTTCCTAAGCCACTTAGACGCCTTCAACTATTTCACCCTTAAGCTCAAGCTCCCTATGAATCCATTGGCCACTGACTGTCATGCTCAGACTCCAGTCACATTTGTCTCTCAGGGCACATCTATACTACAGAGTGATTTTGAAATAACTTCTGTTATTTCAAAATAACAAGGTGAGCATCTACACAGCAAGCCCACTATTTCAAAATTATTTCAAACTAACGGGCTTCTTATTCTTGAATAATAAACTCTAATTTCGTGAGGAATAACACTTATTTCAAAATTACTATTTTGAAATAGTAGTAGTGTGGACACCCCACTGCTGCTATTTTGAAATAGCTCCTCCCCAGGGCCTTTCAAAGTAATTACTCCCCAGTGCTTCCTGGGCCTCTGATTTGAGGTAGTGCATCCACATTAGGGGAGCCTACCTCAGACTAATTTTGAGGCTTCCCTGTAGTGTGGATGTGCTATTTTGAAATAGTTATTTTGAGAGTTGTTATTCTGAAATAAATGCATAGTCCTCTGAGGCTATGTCTGCACTTGGAGAGGGGGATATGATTCACAGTTCATGTAGATGTACTTGCACTAGCTCTCATTGAACTAGTGCACTAAAAACAACAGCATAGCAGTGGTCGCACAGGCAGCAGAGAGCAATGGCATGACCTAGCTGTGCTGAGTTTGTACCAGTGTGGGTCAGAAAGGTCTGTACTCTGCTTGGCTAGCCCCTGCCACTACTCACCACTGCCCATGCTGCCCCCAGCTACACTATTGTTTATACTGCATTAGCTCAGTGGGAGCTAGCATGAGAATGCCTATGAAAGCTGGGAATCACATCCTTAGTTCAAGTGCAGATATACCCATATAGGCCTAAAATCACCATCTCTAAAAAGGTTGGCTGGTTGAAATGTCAACCAATATATAAGAACTTGTTTGAAAAATTTCATCAATCAGTCCCTAGCAAGAAGCATGAGGAGGGCAGATCACTGTCCGCTAATTTTGAAGAGAGAGGTTATTTCAGTATTGGTTATTTCGGAACAATGGATTTGATGTGTGTATGAAATCAATGAGCTTTACCAAGAATCTGGCCTCTCCTGTCTCAGCAGTACTTTGTGTCATATGAGATGATTGGGAGAAACTGTACATCACTCTTCTCTTGAGTTTAATGTGATATCTGAGGCCCCTGTACACAGGAAAAAAATGATATTTTTATCTTGTATTAAAGAACATATGGTAACTAACATGAGGTAAAAAAAATTCTAATGAAGACAATGCAATTTGTAGTTTTATGAGAGTTAACCTTCACCTTGACCTGTTAATTGCTGCAAAAAAATTAGGAGTCCTGTGACACCTTAGAGACTAACAGACTAACCTAAGGTGCCACAGGACTCCTTGTTGTTTTTGAAGAGACAGACTAACACATCTACCCCTTGAGACTGCTAATTCCTGCATTTTACCTCATGTTAGTTACCATGTTAGCTAACGTGAGGTAAGAACACATCTTTTTTTTAATATTATTTAAGGAAACTGACACCACTGTATTCAATTTCAGGAATATTGTCTGTAACAGTTGTGGAGGTTCCATGCCATATTTTATTACAAGATGCCTTCAATGCAACAAATTTGCCAAGAAACACCACAAAAGTTGTTGGATGCTGCCAAGATCTCTTTAACAGGTACTTAGGAGTGCTTCATTCTGTCATTTTGTGAAATCACATTTTCTCCAGGGCTGATGTATTTTCAAAGCAGTATTTTCTAGGAAAACATGGTAAATAAAGGCACATGGAAAAAGTATCCACATCCACAGACATTGCTTTGGAGCCAAAATAACATTTTCCATTGTAAATAACAAGAACAATGTATATGATGCCACAAAAATATGTAATGTAAGAGTTACCAACCAAAGCATATGGAATTTGTTCATTCACTTGAGCTCTTTAGCTTTGCTTCTGAACATCAAGCAGCCTGATTTTATTTTGGATATCTGGGTTTATCTTCAGACACTGACTGCAGGTGACTTTGCACACCTCAAAAATTATTATTTTAACCTTGGTTGGTTGGTTAGTTGTGCATTTCCTCTTTATCAGATATCAAATAGAGATGGGACAGCTCAGAAGTTCAGTACAAAATGTGAAACTCCCTGACATTTAAGTGATTTTTAGATCTGGAACTCTCATTTGAATCATTGTTCTGACCCAGAAGAAAACATTCCCAAAGTCTGAGTATTGCTGGATCCCAGGTTATGGTTGGGGTCATCTCTAAAGCTAATAAAACATTATGTATTTAGCCAACCACAGTATAGGTATGTCTACACAGCACCCGAAACTCAAAATAAGATACATAATGTATTATGCGTAGCTTATTTTGAGCTTATTTCAAGTCTATTTCTACACAGTGCCAAATTCAGAAATAAAGTGCTATTTCAAGCCATCTCTTACTCCTTGCAGAATGAGGTTTACAGGGATGGCAAAATAACATATACACTATATTTTGAAATAGCGGATGCATTCAAAAGACGCGGGTTAGCTATTTCAGGATACCTGTGGTATCCTGAAATAACTTTGCTGTGTAGATATACCTATGTGACCATAACCACATATCTGAGATAAACCAGGACCTTTTCCTACAGTGATCTGTGCATCTGATTAAACAAATAATATGTTTTATTTAGAAAATATTATATACTTTTGAACCAAAACAAGTCCTGAGTTAAATCTGTATATTTTATAATTTTCCATAAAAGATTTAGGGGACAAAGTAAATAAAGATACTAGATTAATAAGAAGTATATTAGAACCAAGTTTAGATTGTGATGTGAGGTAACAAAGGTCTATGTTTTCTGAGTTATAGCAGGCACATATTTTGTTCACTCTAATATGCCTTCCTTTCACTTCGACAATAAATCTATTATCTCTTATGAATCAAGGATCTGATTTTTCTTGTTCTTCTTGCTCTTATGGAATTTTCTGTCCTCCTTTTTTGTCCATTCCAGGTTTCTCTGGGGGAGGAGGGTGTAGCCCTTCTATAATTACAGTGATGGATAAATCATAGAAACACTTCTGTAATCTTGGCTTAATATAGTCCTTATTTATTTCAAGTCTTTATTTACCTTGTCCCTCTAACTCAATGATGGGCAATCTAGCCACAAGAGTGGCCCTCATTCATCTCACTAGGCCTCAAGATTGTCGTAAGCAAAATGTTCTCCTGAGATAGGGCAGGTTTGCTAACTGAGCTTGTGCACTAGAATTTGTGGGGGCATGCTGATTGAACTGTAGCAGCACTTTGATTGGATGCAGAGGGCACACACATCTCTCACAATGTTGTGTGCAACCAGCACACACTTCACTTCACGTGCCCTTACTTCACATGCATGTCACTTTAGTAATACCAGTAGGAAAAAAATGATGTAGATGGAAACTAGTGAAATCTGGCAACCCTGCATGTGAGTAATTGTAAACAAAATATCTCTTGGGCCACACATAGAACCCACTTCTCCAAATCTTTTATAAAAAGTTATACAAATGTACAAAAAGCCAAATATATACAAAAATTAACAAAATAATAAATTAAATACAACACAGAGACTGCTATATTGTGTTCTCTGACACAGATCCTCAGCTAATGTAAATTGTATTAACTCCACTGACTTCAATGGAGCTATGACAATTTACATCATGGAATGCTCTGTCCCTCTGTCTCAGCCTCTGCTATGCATTCTTGTCCCTGAATGTGAGAGTCTGGAAATGTGATCTTGCTGAGCATTCGGCAGGATCTATAGCGACTTTAAACTTGCTCCTGAAATTTCTTTCTTTCTTGTCAAAGTCCTAACATTAATTTTCTATTTTGTTGTGATTTTAAGATTTTAAGTCTGTTTCTCACTTGGATGACTTTATACGAGAAGTAGCTTTCAATATTGCATATTCAATGAGAATGATATCCGTATTTTCAAAATCAAAAGCCGTATGCTTTTATGATGATATTTTTATGTTTACAGAAACTCGTAGCCAGAAGTACAGGGTAGTGCTTTTTTAAATAGTATGTTAGTGCCATTACCACCAGCTTCTTATGACTGAATTTATATTACTTTGGGGTGAAGGACTTTGTCCTGTACCTTAGTGTTCTGAGCAAGTTTATCATAGAACAGTGAATAGATGTTGTACTCAGTAAAGTGAAATTGAATAGACAGTGTGCAGATTTAATTGAAGGAATGGAACAGTGGAGTGTTTTCAGGTGTCCTGGAATTTCCTGGGCACAGGGATTTCATATGGAAAACCAGAACTGCCCCTGGCGCCAATAAAATCAAGATGTATGGTCTTTTTAGCATTGCAAGGGTTTAGAAATGTCAATTTGAAGTCCCGTTTCAAGTATAATAATTTAACATTCTAAATCCCCTGACCAAAATATGTATATTGTGAAAATAGACCTGACTTCCTTTTTTTCTCCTTCACCAGCACCAGTGCAAACAGTTCTCAAGAAAACTTTTTAGGAGAAAACTACATCTTAAGCTCCTTGAAAGGATGTTGCCAAATACTGGAATCTCCCACTTTTAATTGCAGTTGGACTACTTCATAATTTTGAACTGGGACTAGTCATAGCCAAAAGACTAGAAGAGGGCCTCAGCTCTTTGGTGCACAGATGGAAACAAATTAAGAATGGAGAAATCTTTTTCTGCTTAAGGACTGTGCAGAAGTTTGAGCCTTCTTTTCTTTTCACACCAGTGCAACTCCTTTGGTTTGAGTGGAATTACTCTCTGGTAAATAAAAAGACAACCAGGCTCCTCTTTCTGCAGATCAGTTCTCCAGTAATGAAATCAGCCTGAGGTGAATGTGAAAATTACCACCATGGGCATATTTGCTAAATCTGATTCCCCTCTCCCTTGGGCCAGTATTAATCAAGGTAATTTGGATGAATTTGATAGAGTTTGCCTAATGCAACACTGCTGTGAGGGAAGACCCAGGCCCAGTGTATTAGTAGCTGTTCAATTTTGCTTCATAATTTTCTATTGTGTTCAAAATGGTTATCTACTGCAATTGGCATTTCTCCTTTTTTATAATATTGAGCCTAAAGATTTTTATTGTGCTAAGATGCATTACTTTGTTTGCTGTCTCTGTAGCATGTGGAAGGATGGTAACTATATACCAATAATGGTAAAGCTCCAGTTGTGAATTAATTTCCAAATCAGCTGATGCCCCAGGCAAAATTCATTGTATTTTTACTACTGTTTCCTTTGTTATTGCAGTTCTGAGGTCTGATTCTAGTATCACAATAGACTAAATTAGGAAAAACTCAATTGAAATCAGTGGAGTTAAGTTGATGTAAATTCTGTGTGAATGATACCAGAATCAGGTCTCTGTGTTGTAAGGCACATAGGGTACGTCTACACTACAACGTTAATTCGAACTAACTTAGTTCGAATTAGTTAGTTCGAACTAAGCTAATTCGAACTAACGGATCTAGACTAAAAAACTAGTTCGAATTAGCGTTTTGCTAATTCGAACTAGCATGTTCACACAGAGTGGACCCTGAACCGGGGTTAAGGATGGCCGGAAGCAATGCCGGCAGGGCATCAGAGGATGACTTAGAGCGTGGAGATGCTGCCTCAGGCTAGCCCAGGGCTGCGCTTAAAGGGACCCGATCCCCACCCCGGACAGACAGTTCTCAGGGGTGCCCCGCTTGCAAAGCAGTCCTGGCTTGGATTGCCCGGAGTACCCACACTGGGCACATCACACCACTCGGCCATCAGCCCGG